TAGATTGATTAGAAAAATAYATGAGCAAGGGAGGTTGAGGATCAGAAGCCAGAAACTTTTCAGTTCTTTGACAGCTTTGAAAAGGATAGGGTCTCAAATCTTGGGCTGCACTACTGTTAGGAAAAAAAAATCTATAAGCAACAAAATTTTGGCACCAAAGGAACCCAGGACGGGAAACTGGAGACTGTGGTGTACTACCATGAACTAAAGAAATACTWAATTTGTTCAAGTTTAAAAAGAGGAAGAGGATTAATTGAATATAAAAGGAAAGAGCATTTTTTGGAGCACGTGATCAGACGCCTTTAGGACACACACATACACACACATGGAGAGCAACAGATCAAATCTGTCTGATAGGACAAGGGGAAATGGTCTTAAGATGAAAGAAGGCAAATTTAGATTCTATATCAACAAGAAATTCTTTACTGTGAGGGTGGTGAGGCTCTGGAACAGGTTGCCCTTAGAGRTTTTGCCCCATCCCTGGGTGTGTTTAAGACCAGACTGGATGGAGCCCTGAGTACCCTGGTCAGTGGAAGATTCCCTGCACATGGCAGGGAAGGTTGGAACCCAGTGATTTTTTGAGTCTCTTCCAACCAAGGCCATTCTATGATTCTATGACTCCATGAACTCCCAGCTATTCAGCAATTCCAAGGCAGAGACGTGTGATTGTGTAACCCAAAGAAAGCAAGGACAAATGGAATACAAAACATCTAAAATAAGAGTATAGAAATATTGGGGGTTCAGTGCACTTAAATTTGCAAAGTAACTTCATGGTATTTAATTTTCCATAGTAAATGAAAAAGACTGAGCTTTTCTTTCTCAGAACTGACTAGTTAACTACACAAGGTGATTTACCTGGTTTGTCTTAAATATAATCTCTCTCACCAAGGCTACTTGATTTCATCATAAAACATGACAACTTCTACCTTTCTAATYGTATGCTTCTATCATATATTTTTATAAGCAAATATATATTTATGAGCAAATATAAGCTCAGCAAATATTTATYACTTAATCCATAGTCAGCATTAAAGAATCACACAGATTTATTTATGGCTCACTCAGGTTGTAGATTGAACAATAAAACCCTCATACAGCTGGTTGCTGTGGGACATTTGGACTGGGTCACAGGATTGTCCCCATGCAGAAATGAGACATGTAGGGGACCCATAGTGGTAAAATAGCAGCAGTAAATTATGGCAAAGGAAAAATTAGTGCCATGATTTATGTGTCTCTGTACCAGAGCGCACCCGTCAGAGCCTCCTTCAGAGCCACGCTTGGTTTTCCAGACCTGTTTCCTTCCTACCCACTAAAATTCATTTTCAGCCAAAAACTGCTAATAAATGTAATGCCTTAAAATAGCAGTATAATGTACACAAATGCTTGTAAGCCGTGCAGGCCCGGGCACAATGCTACTTCTCAGGCTGCTGCTCTACTTAGCATTAGTACTRTTAATGATTTATGTGGTGCCACTGAGCCATGTGACGCTTCCCAAACTTGTAAGAAGGCTGGTTCAACCATAAAGTCAGAAACTTCCTCAGTTTCACAAACAGAGGCACTGAGCCTCTGGGGGAGGTCAGTCCACCTGGAGGGAGGTGCAGATCTGTTTGTGGACAGACCTCCAAAACGTTAAACATTAATTTCACCTGGAACAAGACAAAAGGATTACAAGAATTTTCCTAGAATAAAAAGACTTATTATCCACGTGTCTTTCTGAACTGGAGAAATACAGCCCACAGATCTTTCAGTTGAAGAAGCAAGTCCAATTCTTATAAACAGAAAACGGATGCAGAGGTGCTTTTTTCCACTGCATCCATGAATGTGCAAGATATTAGAGTGTTAGTGTGAAGAGGGAGTTGAGCTTCATAAAACTAATAAGAGGAATTTGGGACAGGATGGGCTTGGATGTAGGAGCTAGGAGAATGACTTATAGGAAAACAAAACCAGTCTTTTGCTTTTCTGAACAATTAGAAAACATTCCAGAAAAAAAAAACAAAAAAAAAAAAAAACCAAAAGAAAACCCCACAAAAAAATAACCAACAACAAACCTACTGTAAGGACTTATCAATGTAACTAGGACAAGATCTGCACAATATGTACTGGTAAAGCCCCCTAGTGCACACACACAACACTTACACACACTGCATTTATGACCAGTGTTATGCGCTTTATTGAACCACAGAATTAGTTCAGGCTGCAGCYTTTTCCACATAGAAAATGTTTGAGGATCATTCATCTGCAAATTAAAGGATAGAAATTAAAATGTCGAAGAGAAAATAAAGTAYTAAACAAGTCCATTTGTTTTCAGCTGACCCCTTCATTTTAATGAAGACTATTTCGAAACAAAAAGATGCATTTTGTTCTAAAAATGTCCATCTTTTAAATTCTAACATTGTTCCCATCCCCCTTGGAATACATGAAATTTAATGCAAATCAATGTAAAAACAGCCATTAAATTGGAATTCTGGGTCCTTTTACAGAAAACTGTTTTTCTGAATACTTTCCATATAATGCTTTGCAGCTGTTGTGGCCAGACAAGTGTTAACTTAGAGGGCAAGAAAGAGCTGCCCTGGGAGGAGAGAGCTCTGTGTGAACAGAGGGCTCTGTAACTCCCTGATCCCACAGCTYCTCACACCCAGGAGCCCCCTGGTCTGCCCCCAGCTCCCAAAAATGCCACCAGCTGGTTTCTCCCTGGCCACCCCTGCTCCCCCCTTTCCCAACCGGGGTGGTCTCTCTTCCCTTGCCCGCCACTCTCTGTGATTATTTACTGGAAACATGTTTTCTTGGAGGAGAGTTAATCCTTTTTCATGCAGAGCTCCGCTCCCTTTTCCCAGGAAGCTTGTTCCTGAAATTGTATTTTATTATAGATAAATAAAACACTGCTAAAATTAGGCTCAGAAAGAGAAGTAGCAGGGTTTCTTGGCTCTGTGCTTTCCCCTGTGTGGTCGTAATCCGTTCCAGAGAGCTGCCTCTGCTCCTTTGGCTCTCTTGTTGAACCAGTGGTTCTTGGAGGCAGCTCATGTCCCTGTCTTCGTCAGGATGTGTATTTGCAGCAATTTCACCTTGAATCTTTCTGCCATGCTGACACAGAATCACAGAATCATCAAAAAGCTTTGGGCTGGAAGGATCCTTAGAGATCATCCAGTCATGGGCAGGGACAGTTTCCATGTGACACTTTCCACAAAACCCCATCCAACCCGTCCTGGAACACTTCCAGGGATGGGGCATCTGCTAAGACTTTTTCTGCTGAGAAAGTGAAATGGTGAATTCTGCTTTTAAAGTGGGCTAATCACAGTCTCTATCTGCCTCTAAGTAAAAATCAAGGTARCAATATTTGCCAATAATGCAAAGTTATTCTCAATATTTAAAAATGAACCTCTGCTTTAAAGAGCTGGAGAGATACTTTCTTAGGCTGCCTGGCCAGAAGGCAAAATGGCATTTCTGAATCAGTAAATAAGAAGTGGTGTTCAAAGTGAAACCAAATCCCACCTTCATACATACACTAATAGATTCTGAGCTTGCTGAGATTACCCCTTAGGAACTAAAGGGGTTTCTTATTATAATGCATAGCTTCCTAAAATACAGATTCATGGATGATTTTTTAAAAAATTTAGAAATTATTTCAAGGAAATAGAAAACAAATGTCAGTATGCCTATGTAACACTGTCATTCAGTTGCATCTTTAATGCACTGAAAATCTGATATATTTATTACTTGCCTTCATGAAAAATGATATCTGAATCCTAGACAACAGTTCAGGTGGCAACATGGATAAACAAAGTGTACAAAGGTATTCATGAGATGAGTCTCATGAACTATATTAGGGTCTCCTCAGCCTGGGAAAGAGAAGGCTGTGGGGAAGGTGTTCAAGATCATGAGTTGATAGAGGCACTCTTTTTTTACTCTTTCACTTCCAGATCTTGGGGGGCATCAAATGGGACAGTGTCAGGTTTGAATGAAGGTTAAGCTTCATTCAATTCTTGCCATGCACTTCAACACTTGCTATACAATTTTTGGATGTCAGTAAGTCTGCATGGGTTAAAACAACAAGGGTTAGATACATAAGAAATCCCTGAAATGCAAATTCCCAGGGTCTGAGTGTATTGCCAAACTTTCTTTCCCTGTCCATGATATCCTTCAGCTATTGGCTGTAACTACGATGTGGCTGGACTAACCTTCAGTCTGATCCATTCTTCCTGGTTTTACACCCTTTTTGCTATGTCATGGTATCATACTGCTCCATAAAAACAMAGTGTTCTCCAGACCAAGGCCAGCATTCCATTTAGCAGCACGTTTTCCTCTGCAGCAGCAGCAGCAGCTCRGCACAGAGCAYGGCACTTCTGGTGTGAGTCCATCAGCCACCTGAACCACCACTGCCTGCTCTGGAGCTTCCTTACCATCCTTCAGCTGCCCAAAGAGCTGACATGGGAATTGTGAATTTTAAAATCTCAAACCTCAAAATACTCTTTTTGTTTATTGGAGCTTATCAGGTCTTGTCCAGCAAGACCAAAAAAGCCTCAGTGGTTTAAAGATTAAACAAACAAGGTTCCACTGCCCTTCCCGATGGCAAAGGCAAACAAATCCATGACTAAATGTTACTTAAAACTAAAAAAAAATAAGAGTTGTATCATTTCAACATAACTATTTAAAAAAGATTGACTGATTATCTTAACAAATTGATATTATTATAGTTGAATTTTCTTTCATGAGACAAAAAGTCGTATTGTATTGCTAAAAATAAGGCAGGATAAAAATCTGCATACAATTGTGGATGATTTTCTCRCATTTTATTTACACTTGGAATCAACTGCCTCACTGAAAAGTTTCAGTGAAMAGATGATGAGATTTAAGCCATTGCTAGTTACAGAATGTGTGGACAAACACAAATTATTTCTATAAAAAAAATCTTCATGGTTTTGCCATTGGTAACTGCAGTGAGTTTCCCGTTTCACYCTGCTTGACTCCAGTGGGCACATGCCCTTTCAGTTCCTCTTCAAAGGGCTGTTTCTGTGCCTCACTGCATCACCAGCAACAGAAACTGAAAGCTCTGCAGCCGTGGGAGCTGCAGGACACTCTCTCTTTTTGCCTTTTCTGACAGAGATTTGGCTTTCCTCAAAGGAAGGGGAGGCAGAAAATGGASAGGCTACGTAAGGCACTGGATTTCTGCATCCGCCACCAGACCATTCTGGGCTACAGCATCGTGTCCCTGCTGACGGCTGCCAGCGAGCAAATCTTCTCCTCCGTGGTGTTCAAGTGTCCCTGCAACTCTGGGAACATGCTGTATGGCTCTTCCTTCCTCCTRGTGCCTGCCTTCATCCTCTTGCTGCTGGGCTACATGGTGAACGCCAGGACGTGGCGCCTGCTGACAGGGAGCTGCTCTCCAGAGAAGCGTCTCCAGTGCAGCCCCCGGGGAACCTGTGCCCGCTACAGCCAGGTGCTGGTGCAGGTGACAGCCAGAGCCTTGGTGGCCCCCCTCACCTGGATAGCGGTGGCCCTGCTCGGAGCCAACTTCTACGAGTGTGCGGCCAGTGGGAACAGCCTGATAAAGGATTTCTTCTGCAAAGACAAAGGACCTGAGTGCCAAACCCAGCTGCTGAAAACACCTTGTGATGAGAAATTGTCAGCACAGATATYGAGTGAACGGCTCAGCCTTCATGCACAGTCCCAGGTAAAGCCTCGCTGCTCTTCTCCTCACTATGGCCTTCAGCCCTGGCTGYTCAATATGTAGTGGTGCCTGCTGTTCTTCTCTCTTATATCATATATTATCATGTACCAAAAACACACAGATAGCAAAAATTCATTAGTGACAAGACAGTAACAGAAAATCAGTAGGTGTATAGATAAGCTACTCTCTGGTTTGGCACATTTGCATGGTAATGGTTTGGCGCTGTCATTTACAAAACCTCATTCAAAGCTGGGCAGGGAACCAGCCTAGAGAATGGGACTTTCCAAGTTTTCTTCTCTCTTAAAAGAAGTGGTGTGAGTTCTTCTCTTTCCCCACTTTTACGCCTCTAAATACCTCAAACTTCTGTAAATAGACATTAGTTGAGGGGAAGTGACAACACTAACAGACGGGAAAGTGATGTCTCCTTGCAGCACAGTTGTTGCAAKGAGACATCTGGAAAGAGAAGAAAATAAGGACAGCTTGTTTGACTGTAAATCTCAGTGCTTGAAYCTCATAATAATTTCACACTTGTATTCCAGAAGAACAGTTAAAATATGTATCATCTGTCTTGTTAAAGTTTCTCATGCTGAAGGCAAGCTGCATGATCAAAACAATAATACTAGTGCGGACTTTTTCTTGTTTGGAGTGAAATAAAAACTCCAAATTTTGGCAGCACTTCARTTTTGTTTCTACATTTGTGTGGATCTTGTCTTAACTCCTGTAGGAAAATCAGGTTTCCCAAAATTTTCTCAGGAAACATTAAGGGTTGGTTAAGGGAGTTAAGTTTAYAAGAGTTTATAATTACTTGGATTTTTGTAAGTTCCCATTTAGAACAAATGCTTATTAAAACAAGGAAGTCTTTATATTTGTTAAATGCTTAGCATGCTGCTTCTCCAAAAAAAAGGCTGGAAAGGGGCAAACTCTAAGCCACCGAATTCACATGGGATAAGAAAAGAGCAAAACCAAGGAAGACTGACTATTACTGATATTGCAGTGGAATATAAAAGAAACATCCAGTCAAACAAAAATAAAAAAGGCATGAGTGCATTTTTATTACTGACCAGTATTTTTTAATATCCAATCTACTTCCAAGAAAATTAAGAACCAAAAAGAACACAAACTCCTTTTGCCTTAGCATTGAATACTTTTTCATTTGAAAAAAGTCATCCCAAGGTAAAAGACCATGTAGCAGGACCTCTGCCTGGAACTTCCACCTAAGTACCCCTGGGAAAAGGAGGGACCAGCATCTGCCAGGACATCTGGTTTTGATGGGACCTCTCAGATTTGTCTAGGGATGTAAATCAGGTATAAAACAAGAATGAACTCCCATATTCAATATCCAGACCTGTGTCCTGCCTACAAAACATACAGGACACAACTTTTCCTCAGTGCTGTGCAAAAGCTAGATGGTTTTGCAGGCTTAGACATCAGGGAGAGAATCTATGTTCCATGAGAACAGAGCAGTAGGTGCTCTGATTCGCAGCACAAGGCAGACAGGGTGATTCTGTACCCTCTGCACCATAAATCTGACCACAACTGCTGAAACTGATGGTCAGTATATTGCCTTGAAAGTTAAGAAAGCTGGATATAACTGATTAAATAACCTCTCCACTTTCTCTTTTCTTGGTTTTCATCCTTAATCCAACAAGATCAGCTCAGGGGTGCAGAAGCTCYCATATTTCATATTTCTTCAATGTTTTTTTCTATACTCCCACATCTGGCCATGCAAAAACACCATTAACATATGCATCTTTCTTCCCAGCTGATAGGATGGTTCCTGATAGCCAGCATCATGACTGTGGCACTGATTTCAACATGTGTCAGCCGCTGCTGYTCCCCAGTCAGCCATCTTCAGCTCAAGTTCTGGAAAATTTACTCAGCAAAAGAACAGGAACTCTTTGAGAGCAAAGCCAAAGATCATGCAACAAAGCTGGCAGAAATAAATACAARTTGCTTTTTTGAAGCCACTGACCCAGCACCATTTCATACTCCCAGCAATGAAGACTGGTGGAAGATTTCGTTCTTGTACACCTTCAACCCACAGGAGCAGTATTACAGCATGATACACAAGTATGTGGGCACAAACAGAGGCAACTGCTCCAAATTCCAGGAAGAAGGTCAGGATCTCAATGTTTTAGCATTTGTGGATGAAGCACACACAAGCATTTCGGGGTTATAATGGAACAAATCCTTTGCAATGCTGGCAGTCTTTTAACCCTGCTGATGTAAGAAGGGTCTTATTCACTGCTTTTACTGAAATCTATGCAAATTGARTGTCAAAGCTGATAATTGTAACCCTCAGCAGATTTGCTTTTAAATACATTTTAATACTTTTGCTTAAGTACATTTAAATGGTAGTTTTCTTGTGTTGCTGTCCATTGAGAAGAGTTATGTGTGAAATAATCCGCATGTACAAAGATGTCGGCACATACTATGTCAAATTATTACAAACACCTTAAAAACTCTTGGCAGATGGAGTGACAATACCAAACCTTATCMAAGAGGCAAAAAGGAATGGAAGATTTGATCAGAAATCCTGCTTAGTTTATTAGCTCCCTCCTTACAATGAAGCTTTCAGTGAAGCTTAGAACAAGCTGTAGATTAAAATATTTAGCTTGTCTGGAGGGGTTAGGCTCATGCATAACGTGGCAATGTAGGTGAAACTTCTATATTAACAAACATTAAAAACACATTCATATATTTAAGGACATTAAAAATCTGCWATCCATATTAGCAAGTAGTAATATTCTTATCAAAGAACATCTAATTATAAGAAACAAAGTTTTGAGTGAAGAACCATAAAGGTCACTTCTCTTCTGAAAAGCTTTTGTTTAAGAGAACATTKTAGAGATGTGAGTCAGATTGTTTGGTCCAGGCTGTCATTTTACTCTTCCCAGAAATCCTCTCTTTCTACACAATGAACTCARAAATTATTCAGACAGACAGAGAGKAATCCCAAGAAGTTATTTGTTCCATTCATTTTGCAAGGAAGAAAGGAGTCTATTTTTACTAGCTAAATATAACGAGCCTGGAAGCTTCTTTCTCACTACAAACTGAAAACATAATGGCGAAACAAGATTTAATTCTGTATTAAAAATTTGTAGAAAAGATTTTTTAAAAGCATTTATTTTGTGACAGTCACTGACTTGCTCAGTGCTCTTTTCCTTCAAGAAACTTGATGCTAACAGAGTGACAGTACAYGCTGGGGGCTGACCTCTTAGAGAGATTCTCTGTCRAGAAGGACTGGGCTGWGTAGKTGGGTGACAAGKTGACTGTGAGCCAGCAGKGCCCTTGCAGCCAGGAGGRCMAGTGGTGTCCTGGGGTGCACTGGGAAGAGCGTGGACAGCAGGTCAAGGGAGGTGATCCTGTCCCTCTGCTCAGCCCTGGTGAGGCACATCTGGAGTGCTGTGTCCAATTCTGGGCTCCTCAGGACAAGAAAGTCATGGAGCTACAGGGGAGGGCGCAGCAGAAGGGCCAAGAAGTTGTTTATGTTCTGGAGCACCTCTCTTTTGAGGAGGGACTGTGGGAGCTGAGCCTGTTTAGTTCTGGATGAGAGAGGACTGAGAGGGGATATCGGTAACACATCTCAAAGGTGAGTGCCAAGAGGAGCGTGCCCGACTCTTAGCAATGGTGCCCAGCAACAGGAGGAGGAGCAATGGCCACAAATTAAAGCATGAGAAGTTTCTCCTCACCATGAGTAGAACTTCTTTATGCTGAGGGTGGCAGAGCACTGGAACAGGCTGCCCAGGGAGGTCATGGAGTCTCCCTCTCTGGAGACATTCAAAACCCACCTGGATGTGTTCCTGTGTCACCTGCTGTGGTGACCCTGCCTTGGCAGAGGGGGTGGACTAGGTGACCTTCAAAGGTCCCTTCCAATCCTAGCAATTAAGTAATTCTGTAAGAAAACAAGGACAGTATAGGTTGTTCACTTTCAAGATAACATTTTTTTAAAAGAGAATACTTGGCTAGTCTTGCTAGAAAAAGCAAAAATGGGCACGGCCAATAAAGCCACGTTCACCTCAATCATAACCAGCAAAAAGCACCTGAGGGCTGTTGCACAAGCAGAGAAATCAGATAAATTCCACAAGACCTTTCATCTGTAACTTAAGGAAAAGTAGTAATAATAATTTTTTTTTTTTTTTAAAAAAAAAGGCAGGGAAACTTGTTACTGATTATAACATATTGCTATATATTGTACATGTTGTCATTTCTTACTGGCAGCAGGTAAAGCAGCTGGGCTGAGACCAAGGCTGAGTAATGAATACTTCATTTTTTGCTCCCTTCAAAATTGCTGTCTTAAAGCTCCATTACCCTCTGCCACCACTGTACCACAGCGCTATGACAAACCAAGGAAGAGAGAGTATCATGAGCACTGTGCAGGTCTGGTGAGGATGAACCGTGGTAAGAGATGCCCCCACTTAGTGTGATTAAGAGTTAAACAGCCTGAGGGAAAAATAGGATAAGGCACAAATCACAGTGATAAAATCAGGGTTAACTCATGGCTGCACTGAACTTAATTGTTTGTATTTCTGTTTAAAACAAGCATTTTGGTGAGCAGAGGGTATGCTGGCTTTGTGGGTAGGGTGCTGTGCTAGGACTTGGGGTTTTGTCCAACCCTTACCCARACATCTTGCATTACACCAAACAATTTTAAATCCTCCTGTAACTCCAGTCACTGTGAGGCTGCTCCTTCTCTACTTCCCAGTCACGCTGTGTTAACAAGTCCACTGCCAAGAGGAAGATGTTCCACAACTGGTGGTGAAGGCCAGGTAGGGGAGGTGAAGGTAAGGGTAGACAACACGATGACCAAATCAGTTGTGTGTCAATCTCAGAATTTTTATTGAAGTTTCCTTAGACTGGTACAGATCCACAGTGACTGCACATTAAATACATCATGCTTTGTTCAGTGTGTGGTCACAAGATCATTGCTCTTGGAGAGAAGGCTGACAYGAAAAGCCCACAGCTTGGAGCGACACAAGCATTGCTGTGGTTCTGAGATTGCTGCAGCSTGGGTGCACATGGGACTGAGCAGAAGGGCCAGCAAAACTGCAACACTGTGGGGCCTGAAGAGCTGCAAGGAACACAGCCTTGCAGCTCCTGCTGCCAGAGAAGCCACATCCCTCTCTGGTTTCAAAGACAGCAGGATGTTGGAGTGGAGGCCAATGACTGGCAATGGACACAACAATCCATGCACCTGTGAGTGAGAAACTGAGAACAGCAATCACAGAGGATGAATCCTYTATAGATAACCACACACAGCCAGGGAAATAAAGCAGCCATGCTTTGAAACATTGCTGACAAACAAAATGGGAAAAGGTCCAGTCATCTTTATCTGAAAACTATTGGTATGCAATTGAGTATTTAGCACACACTATATACTGAGATAAAACTTCCATTTAGCTCAAGAGCATGGGTATGTGAAAAGCTAGGGCAGATGATTTTGATCTTTTTTACTGATATCTGTGTCATGACAATTAACATTGCCCTCTCCTGTCCTGCCCCTCCTCTTTGCTGCCCAGCTCTCTTCACCTTTCAACCAGGTGACTGGTTCAGCAAAGCCATTTTTACCCTGCATGTCTTCTTTTGAAACAAAACACACAAAATATACCTCAGCAAGGGTTTCTCCAAATACTTTTTTCATTTGTTCCTTTTGTGCTTTCTGTCTTCAGGCTTCCTTAAAAATGTAATTCCTATTTCTGTCACAGCATCACCCTTCAGCCTGTCCTGGAGGAAGGTAACTTCTGCTGCTAATTGAACCTAGAAAGAATCAGGTCTGATCAGTTAAGCAAAGAAATGCCCAGTTTTCCACCCTCCTCCAGTATTAATGAGGCTTTTCTCTCTCTCTCTTACCACAAGAGGACCCCCTTKCTCAGGTTTCATAGGAAACAGATTTCTAGATTGTTTTAAAATAGCTTCCCCATAGTGTGAATTGCCATTTAAGCAAATAAAAAGGAAGTTTATGTATATTGGAATTTATATATTACCCTTCATCCCAGTGCTTTGCTTTCTTTTGAGACCCTAATGCTTGATGATTTTGTGATCACAGAATTTCCTGGCATGTACTGAGACTTATTATATACTTTTGTTAATTAGTCTTGTATCAGATACTATCATTCAACACTGCAGGGCTGAGGCTTTTTTCTCCTGAAATATAAGCTATATGCCAAAAGCAGCTCAAAAGTAATCTCCTTGAAGAAGCTCTAYAAGTCAGAAATTTTCAAATTACAYYCTTTATTTGCATTTTTGTAAAAATYTTAAATTTAGGAGCAAAATTTGGAATTCCATCTCACACACTTCTGATGCTTTTGCTTTAACATTATACTCATACTCACACTTTGTTCTCTCTTTCAGCAGTACCACRGTAACCTGAGAATATTGTTTATCTTCACATGTTTTAAAAGAATCAGGGATGACTATTACTGGCTACAGCTGTGCAACAAAGTGTGATAAGCTCCAGGAGCAGCAGAGAAACCCCACATGCCCTCCTGTCTCTCCACTTTTAAGTGTTATCTCGCTTCCTGATCCCACCTGGCTTTTGCACCCAATTCAGCCGCTGAACAGCCAGGCAGGGACAGTGTGGAGCTGCCCTAATCCGTGTACTTTTCTACCTCAGGATCCAGGATCAGCGCTGTTCTCTTTTATATAGATACAGAGATTTAACCTGAGAGGTTAAACAATGCTGCATTTCCTACATTGGTCTGAACAAGTGGTTTTGTTCCCCTGTGCTTCAGCAAATTAACAAAGAAAGGAGAAAACAGAAGTGCACTTCCTTACCATTTCCAGGGCACCCCGAATCACCCCACAGAGGAGGTTACAATAGCAAAGTGATGCTCGTTCTGCTGGCAGCTCCTCCACAAAGTCCACTAGTGGGTTTTTGTCCAAAATTAAGGAGAATTCATTCCCCATGGCACTACTGCAGCTCACACTAGGGGTGACCCCAAGGTACATCTTGAAAGCAACCTGCAAAAGAATGAAACTCGGCTGTTTGAATACGTTGTGTGCAAACCAGAGGTGAAACTTTAGAAACCTCCAGTAGACGATTTTTACCCTAGGAAGAAAGGGGGGAGAGCCAGACAGGTGAAAAATCAAGGTCCGTTTGTCTCTTCTGTGATCAGCTTGAGCCAGMAATGCAAATCCAGCGCTATGTGAGGCTCTGGGGAAACACAGCAGAGAGCTGCTCTTTGATGTTCCTGCATTTACAACCCCACACAAAGCGGTTTTACTGTTACCACTCGTCTGCTTTCGGTCTGCTTTCAGTCGTGTCTTACTCCCTTGGGACCATTAGCATCTATATTAGCTCATTTCACTACCTCGCCAGCAGCTTTTCTAATCACAGCTCAAGACCTCCTGCAACCGGCCGAGCGTGTGTTTTTTTCCACTCTGATCTGCATCTGCAGCCACTGAAAAAAAAAAAAAAAAAAAAAAAGAAGAAGAAAAACTAAAAATATCCCAGCCCACCAAGAACAAGAATGCCAAGACTGCAAACTTTTATGTCACTGTAAATCGCAGTGTGTGCCCTGCGAGCGCCTTCTCAGTGACATCACGGCGTTATCTCGGCAGGGCGTGGGCAGCGGGAGAGCGGCGGCTGCTCCTCCTCGGCACGGCTCTGCCCCGCTGCACGCCGCCAAAGAAGACGAGAAACCCTCTCCATTTGCACCTCTTCAATGAGTATCAGACATGGATGCTTTCCAAACGATCCTCAAGTTCTTTATGAACCGGAAAACCGCTATAGGTTACAGTTTTATGGCGCTGCTGACAATGGGAGGCGAACGCGTGTTTTCTCTTGTTGCTTTCAGATGCCCTTGTAGCAACGAAAACTTCAGGTACGGTCTGGTGTTTCTCTTCTCGCCAGCTCTTGTTTTGCTAGTTATTGGATACTTCTTGAACAGCAAGACCTGGAAACTCTTTACAGGCTGCTGGGGAAATCCCAGGAAAATATTCCCCAGAGGGAATGTCTGTCATTTCTTTTACGTTTTTGGACAAATCACTTTAAATGCAATGGTAGCTCCAGTGATGTGGCTTTCTGTGGCTTTGCTCAACGGGACTTTTTACGAATGTGCCATGAGTGGCTTGGACAACCCTGCCTACTTAAAAGCAGTTTGCTACAGAAAATCTGAGMAGTGCTTTGGAGARCTACACAAGGTAGCCTGTGACAAAAGCTCCATGCCTTTTTCAGAGAGTGATGAACTGAAACGAACGCTTCAAGCACAGTCTCAGGTAAGAAAAATTATAAACAAAGGGCATTATCCAGATTGCACTGCTGCTGTGATTTATCTCTGGAAGATCCTGATGTCAGATGTTATGTTAAAACAGTTGGCTTCATGTAAACAATGGTTTGGCAGCCTTGCAAAACACAGTAAATCCATCTTTTGGTTGTTTGAGCTGTTCCATATTTCTCAGAGGGCCCCACTGGTGGCAGGTTCAATAAGACCAGAAAACCTAAAGCTTTCTTCCTGAATGGAGATTAGTCTAAAGAGAAAAAAAAAAAAAAACAACAACCAACTGGACTGTTTAGGAGTATGAATTAACAGATGTCACCCCATTAAACAGGTCTGTTCATTTTAAAAATTAATGCCTATTAAAAAAATTGTGCAACACTCTCCTATTTTAAAGRAGAGTTATTGTGATAACTGTAGTGAAATCGTAGGTCACTAACAGCAGAAAAATACTAGAAAATAAGATTTGTGAAATATATAATGTGTTTCTGTTTGCATTCCTCATTTTCATGATGCCAAGTGTGAGCATGTTTTTGTCCTGCTTGGAGGAAGTGAGAAACAGTAAAGCAAGCAGATATGCAAAGCTGAAATCTTATTACATTTTACAATATTTGASTGATACAGATTTTTTTCTCTGCATTTTAACACTAATAAATTCAAAGACAAAAAATCTAAATGGTGGAGAGAAAAAAAAAAGGCTACAGAAAAGGGAAACCAAGGGAAAACACTCTGTGCAGCCAGCAAGTTTTTGACAGGAATTGCATCCATCTGGAACAATTTCCTCTCCCAGATGCAATTTTATTTTCAAGTCCTCATGCAAATAGGACAAAGCCTGAACTGCAGACAAAGCAATTTATTTGCCAGTTCTAGAAGGAAAACACAAATAGTGCTTAAAACTTTAGGTTGTATGTATAAGAAATAGTGAAAGACCAGTGAYTCAGTTTCAGCATGAGAATATATGAGTTCATTTGCCAAGCTGCAAGAAAGTGAAAAATTGTTAAAAAGAGCAATTTCTCTAATACCCATATAAATCATCAGTCAGTACAAAGTGATTGGGAAAAATAAAGGAAAGCTTTAACTATTCTTCCATACCAGTTCCTAAGAATAGTTGTTTGTCAAGCTTCTCTGTTCAGACTTCCTGAGGAAACTTCCCATATTCCATCAGCTAAATATAAACTTCTACTGGTGGTTATTTTTTTAACATTAGTGCAAGAGTTCACATGAAAAAGGTTGTAGCTCTCCATATCATCACCATCAGAGCATGGGAAATCAGTTCCAGTGCAGATGAGTTTCTAAACCCTGAAATATTTTTTCCACACTGGAACTTCTTCCACTGTTTGAAAACAAATACAACTTTTTTTTTTTTTTTTTTTTTTTTTTTTT